TTATACAGCTATCAAGTTACAATTAAACATGCACACAAATCCTTTGTAATGAAAGGGACTAGATATTTTGTAATGGAAAGATCTGACGCTTTGGTCTGATCTTACAGGTTGTTTGTTGTTTGATGGCCAGCTGCCCGGCAAAACATGCCGGACATTGTTGTTTGATGGCCAGCTGCCCAGCAAAACATGCCGGAAATTATTGTTTGATGGCCAGCTGCCCGGCAAAACATGCCGGACATTGTTGTTTGATGGGCAGCTGCCCAGCAAAACATAATGCCGGAAATTATTGTTTGATGGCCAGCTGCCCAGCAAAACATGCTGTATACGACCGTCTGTTATTGATTCGTCGTCAGCTTGAAATAACAACCGTTGTTAAGCTAGACAAAACATACGTCAGCAGTTTTTGGTTACGCAATGTTTTATCACGTGACATAAGCTGGTTTATGCTTTCACGTGGCGGATAAATAAACGTTGGTGGGTGGGGAGGGGGGGGGGAGAACCATTAGGGGAGCAGGGCCCTACCCCCGGCCCTATCACCCCCTCCCCCGTTGTTTACACCACCCCAATCATTTACCCTCTGTCAATTACCCCCCTTGGTTTTCAGGATAGTGCAAGGATAGTTTACGGATAGCGATAGAGATATTTTTAGGGATAGGATAAGGATAGGAAAGTGAAACGTTATGGACAGGATACAAAAAAAAGTTAGCGAAAGGGTTAGAGGTAAGATTAACGTTAGCTTTAGGATAGGTTTCGGATAGAGAATTTGGATATGGTTAGAGATAGGATACGGAATAAGAATGGGTTAATGATACGTAGGGGATAGGTCAGTTTTAGAGATAATTAGTGTTAGGTATAGGGTTAGGATTAGGGATTAGGATATGACTGATTTAGGGATACAGATAGGGATAGACAGACCAGATGGTAGCAGACACAGTGAGATCGCATGCTAATAATGACTAATATAGCCATCCACGATATGTTAAAAATAACAACAGAAAAACAACGGTTCTATCTTAAAAGTTTACAGTGCAGGTGAATCAATCAGACATGTAAAAACATCAATAAACTTTTTCTATTACAAAAGGAAAAAAAAAGATTAAACTCCAAGCAGATTAGATCAAAAACGTTTTTGTTTTGATTATTGGAAAAGGTAGAGCATATTAAGACAACAAAATAAAAAACCTGAGACATGTGTAATACATGTGAGAACCTGTTTAAATCTGGTCAATGTGTAATGTGAGAACCTGTGTTGGAAGAGATCGAGCCTTATCTGCCAGATGGGTTTGAACTCGAGATTTTTCGAATTTATCAACCATGAGCTTTTGCCGACTCGACCACGCCTCCAACACAATTAAGGATACGTGTCAACTGGTTTTAGCCTGCTTTTCTTTTTGGATTTGCTTCCATAGCCTTTGTCCAACCAAGAACAAACTACAAGGAAGCAGATTTTGGAAGAGTGGCTGTCCCCAGCTACCGTGCCTCAGCTGCCCGAGGGTTCGAGCTCGAGACTTTTCGGTTTAGCAACCATGAGCTTTACCGACTCGACCACGCCGACCCCGTTACAATCTAGTAATTTAAATACACCTAGATTGAAACTGTTATGCTTTATGTTATACCACCTAAAACAGCCTAGCTGTATGCTGTCCTCTATGTTATACCTCACATAACCAATTTAGCTGTAGGTTGTCCTCTATGTTATACCTCATATAAACAGCCTAGCTGTATGTTGTCCTCTATGTTATACCTCATATAAACAGCCTAGATGTATGCTGTCCTCTATGTTATACCTCATATAAACAGCCTAGCTGTATGCTGTCCTCTATGTTATACCTCATATAAACAGCCTAGATGTATGCTGTCCTCTATGTTATACCTCACATAACCAATTTAGCTGTATACTGTCCTCTATGTTATACCTGATATAAACAACCTAGCTGTATGCTGTCCTCTATGTTATAACTGATATAAACAACCTAACTAAATTGTCTGGGTACTTCACCTACCTGTTTCCATTATAATATCAAACACAGTCAACGCATACACTGTAACCAACTCAACGCTTATCTAGATGAACTCTACTTCACCTACCCTATGGACCGCCAGGCCCGAGAGGCCCACTAAGAAGGTCGTCTGGAATAAGCTTATAAAGCACGTTCCGTTGGCTGGGTAGTTGCAACATTTGCATCAGTGTACCCAAATGTGCTAAAGATCACCAACATTTGCATCAGTGTACCCAAATGTGTTAAAGATCACCAACATTTGCATCAGTGTACCCAAATGTGCTAAAGATCACCAACATTTGCATCAGTGTACCCAAATGTGCTAAAGATCACCAACATTTGCATCAGTGTACCCAAATGTGTTAATGATCACCCACATTTGCATCAGTGTACCCAAATGTGTTAATGATCACCCACATTTAAATCAGTGTACCCTAATTTGTCAGAGACCACAAATAACATTATGTTTATTGATTTTAGCGGCTGAATTAAAGATTATATTTATAATAATGAATCTAAAATCCCATGTAAAACAATGAAGCTAAGACAGCATGTAAAACAATGAAGCTAAGACAGCATGTAAAACAATGAATCTAAGACAGCATGTAAAACAATGAAGCTAAGATTGTATTTCTAGAACCACTTTTAATCCAGAAAACCCCATTAGAAAACGCAGACAATGTTGAAACGAAACAAAAAAAAATCAAAGTATGTTTACAGTATGAAAAAACACACACAAAAAAACATCGTTAAGAATAGATCTTTTGTTTATACGCCGAACGTTTGCTACAATTGATTATTGATGAAATCATTTTAAAAAACGTCACGTGATTTGATGTTTTTGTTTTTGTTCATTCAAGCATATTGTTGTTTATTAATGAAGCGAGGATGACGACAATACATCGATGAAGGCTCACCGTCTTTTGCTGAAATTGTAAATGACAACCGGAAAAAAGATTAAACAAAAACCAGAAAAGATTTAAAACACAAAAATCAGAAAAAGATTTTTTTAAAAGCAGGAAAAGAATAGATACTAGATTAAATATTTAGTTTTTTAGAGCTCGTTCATTATCCCATGAACTGAACAAAAGAAACCAGAGGCCTAGCCAGGGGAGGCGTAGCGATGGGAGGTTTGGTGGGGCGGTAGCCCCGGATGCCGCTCTAGGGGCGAAATGGGATAGACATTTTTTTAATAAATATCTCATTTTGAGCTCAATTCTGAATTATCCGCAATCGAAGTTTAAAACGAAAAGAATGTTACTTGGCTTTATGGACTTTTAAATATACTTTCGACATTGTGAGACAATAATATAGAGGGGAAGTAACAGGTAAATAGCGAACCTTCGAAATATTGGGGAGGGGCCTTTTTTTACCACCTTATATATCTTTATATAAAAGGGGTGGGGGCGCAAAATTAATAGTTCGCCCCGAGCGCCGGAATAAATTGCTACGCCCGCAAGATAATTCGAGGCGGCATAAATCTATTTAAAGGATATAGATTGCTACGCCTGCAAGATAATTCAAGTCGGCATTTAAAGGATAAGTTATCTAAAGTTGATACAGCTTTTGGTAGAAGGATTGAGGCAATAGTTCACCCTACCCGTGTCTAGAGTTTGGCTTAGGTTTGAAGGATTGAGGCAATAGTTCACCCTACCCGTGTCTAGAGTTTGGCTTAGGTTTGAAGGATTGAGGCAATAGTTCACCCTACCCGTGTCTAGAGTTTGGCTTAGGTTTTAAGGATTGAGGCAATAGTTCACCCTACCCGTGTCTAGAGTTTGGCTTAGGTTTGAAGGATTGAGGCAATAGTTCACCCTACCCGTGTCTAGAGTTTGGCTTAGGTTTGAAGGATTGAGGCAATAGTTCATCCTACCCGTGTCTAGAGTTTGGCTTAGGTTTGAAGGATTGAGGCAATAGTTCACCCTACCCGTGTCTGGAGTTTGGCTTAGGTTTGAAGGATTGAGGCAATAGTTCACCCTACCCGTGTCTGGAGTTTGGCTTAGGTTTGAAGGATTGAGGCAATAGTTCACCCTACCCGTGTCTGGGGTTTGGCTTAGGTTTGAAGGATTGAGGCAATAGTTCACCCTACCCGTGTCTGGAGTTTGGCTTAGGTTTGAAGGATTGAGGCAATAGTTCACCCTACCCGTGTCTGGAGTTTGGCTTAGGTTTGAAGGATTGAGGCAATAGTTCACCCTACCCGTGTCTGAAGTTTGGCTTAGGTTTGAAGGATTGAGGCAATAGTTCACCCTACCCGTGTCTGGAGTTTGGCTTAGGTTTGAAGGATTGAGGCAATAGTTCACCCTACCCGTGTCTGAAGTTTGGCTTAGGTTTGAAGGATTGAGGCAATAGTTCACCCTACCCGTGTCTGAAGTTTGGCTTAGGTTTGAAGGATTGAGGCAATAGTTCACCCTACCCGTGTCTGGAGTTTGGTTTAGGTTTGAAGGATTGAGGCAATAGTTCACCCTACCCGTGTCTGGAGTTTGGTTTAGGTTTGAAGGATTGAGGCAATAGTTCACCCTACCCGTGTCTGGAGTTTGGTTTAGGTTTGAAGGATTGAGGCAATAGTTCACCCTACCCGTGTCTGGGGTTTGGCTTAGGTTTGAAGGATTGAGGCAATAGTTCACCCTACCCGTGTCTGGAGTTTGGTTTAGGTTTGAAGGATTGAGGCAATAGTTCACCCTACCCGTGTCTGGGGTTTGGCTTAGGTTTGAAGGATTGAGGCAATAGTTCACCCTACCCGTGTCTGGAGTTTGGTTTAGGTTTGAAGGATTGAGGCAATAGTTCACCCTACCCGTGTCTGGGGTTTGGCTTAGGTTTGAAGGATTGAGGCAATAGTTCACCCTACCCGTGTCTGGAGTTTGGTTTAGGTTTGAAGGATTGAGGCAATAGTTCACCCTACCCGTGTCTAGAGTTTGGCTTAGGTTTGAAGGATTGAGGCAATAGTTCACCCTACCCGTGTCTGGAGTTTGGCTTAGGTTTGAAGGATTGAGGCAATAGTTCACCCTACCCGTGTCTGGAGTTTGGCTTAGGTTTGAAGACTTGTTGAAAGGCCTGGGAAATCGAATGTGAATTGATCTGTTTCACTTGGAAAAAACGTTCCTGAGAGGAAATGGAACAAAAATAAATATTTTCAACACAGTGGAGGCTAGACATAACAAAAACAAGACATGTTGATATTTTCAACTCAGTGGAGTCTAGACAGAAGAAAAACAACACATGTTGATATTTTCAACACAGTGGAGGCTAGACAGAACAAAAACAAGACATGTTTATTTATATTTTCAACACATTGCAGACTAAACAGAACAAAAACAAGACATGTTTATTTATATTTTCAACACAGTGCAGACTAAACAGAACAAAAACAAGACATGTTTATTTATATTTTCAACACAGTGGAGACTAGACAGAAAAAACAACAACACATGTTGATATTTTCAACACAGTGGAGGCTAGAGACAAATTTCAAATTACAATTTTTTTTACCTTAGGTTTGGGGAGAGAAGGCTTGGATGCTTTTTGGGAATGTCTGAAACAATTTTTTAATAATCCAGGTAAGTTAACAAATCATTCAATCAATAGTGACAATAAAGTAACAGATGAAGATATATATATATATATATATATATATATATATATATATATATATATATATATATATATATATATATATATATATATATATATATATATATAAAACTATGATTGAAGGTGTCACCCTTTGCCCCATATACCCCGCTACCGAAACCCATTCTCTCGAATGTTGGTTTATCTTTTACTCTAGTTAAGGCGCCCTGATTTTGTCTACGTGAAAATGAGTTGATAAGTTTCAATAGGCTGGAGAAGTATACCCCCTCCCCCCTGCCCACTTGTGTCACTTGGTTTAGTTCCCCCCCCCCCTACCCACTCGTGTCACTAGGTGTAGTCCCCACCCACCGTCCCACCCTCCCACGACTGACTTGACGTACCTGTGAGACGGTCTACTCGCGTCTTCCCCACTGTCCGTATCTGAAACAAATCAAAACCGTCAAGAAATCTATAGCCTAGCTATAGACCAACAATAAACAAATCAAACACACCGTCCTTAAATCTATAGCCTAGCTATAGACCAACAATAAACAAATCAAATCGTCCTTAAATCTATAGCCTAGCTAAAGACCAACGATAAACAAATTAAACAATCCGTCCATAAATCTATAGCTTAGCTATAGACCAACAATAAACAAATTAAACACACCGTCCTTAAATCTATAGCCTAGCTATAGACCAATAATAAACAAATCAAACAAACCGTCCTTAAATCTATAGCCTAGCTATAGACCAACAATAAACAAATCAAAACCGTCAAGAAATCTATAGCCTAGCTATAGACCAACAATAAACAAATTTAACACACCGTCCTTAAATCTCTAGCCTAGCTATAGACCAACAATAAACAAATCAAATCGTCCTTAAATCTATAGCCTAGCTAAAGACCAACGATAAACAAATTAAACAATCCGTCCATAAATCTATAGCTTAGCTATAGACCAACAATAAACAAATTAAACACACCGTCCTTAAATCTCTAGCCTAGCTATAGACCAACAATAAACAAATCAAATCGTCCTTAAATCTATAGCCTAGCTAAAGACCAACGATAAACAAATTAAACAATCCGTCCATAAATCTATAGCTTAGCTATAGACCAACAATAAACAAATTAAACACACCGTCCTTAAATCTATAGCCTAGCTATAGACCAACAATAAACAAATCAAATACACCGTCCTTAAATATATAGCCTAGCTATAGACCAATAATAAATTAACTAAACAAATCTATAGCCTAGCTATAGACCAACTATAAACAAATTAAACAATCCGTCCATAAATCTATAGCTTAGCTATAGACCAACAATAAACAAATTAAACAAACCGTCCATAAATCTATAGCCTAGCTATAGACCAATAATAAATTAACTAAACAAACCTATAGCCTAGCTATAGACAAATAAGAAATTAACCAAACAAATCTATAGCCTAGCTATTGACCGACCAACAATCCTCAGTGCCCATGCACTCAAATGTTTTATGCGGTTAGTTCCCTTGATAGTCTTTTATTAAAGCTTTTAGTTGAATGATAGAGCACATGTGTGTACATTTTTGAAGTTTTAAAATTGAATTTGAAAAAAGTGAGTTTAGCTAATATATTTTGAACATACCATGGCGACTCCTTTCTGTCGTAGACGTAGTTCTTCGACTGGTTGTTGGGGTAGTTGTTGGAGTGGTTGTTGGGGTAGTTGTTTGAGTGGTTGTTGGGGTAGTTGCTGGAGTGGTTGTTGGGGTAGTTGTTTGAGTGGTTGTTGGGGTAGTTGTTGGAGTGGTTGTTGGGGTAGTTGCTGGAGTGGTTGTGGTGGTGGGTCCGAAGGTGGTGGTTGTAGGCCGTTGCGTGTCTGTGGTGGTACAAGGTATTTCTGTGGTTGTAGGCGGTTGGGTGTCTGTGTCGGTACACGGTATTTCTGTGGTGGTACAAGGTATTTCTGTGGTGGTACAAGGTATTTCTGTGGTGGTACAAGGTATTTCTGTGGTGGTACAAGGTATTTCTGTGGTGGTACAAGGTATTTCTGTGGTTGTAGCAGTGGGTATAGGTGTAGTGGTGGTAGGCGCTTGTGTTTCTGTTGTTGTAGTAGTTGTTGGTGTGGATGTTGTATGTGTTGTTGTGGTAGTTGTGGTAGTTGTGGTAGTTGTCATTGGTGTAGTGGTAGCTGAAATAAAAAGCTAAATTTGAAATGTTGAAGATTTTAGTCTAGTAATCACAGTCAAAATATGCATTCCGTATTATTACACGATATGCTTACATGCAATGTGTTAAGCTTACATGCAATGCTAATATACTCTGCGTATATACTCTGCTTACATATAATGCTTACTTGCAATGCTTACATATTATTCTACCTGATATTCTTACATTCGATGCTTACATGACATGCTTACATGCACTAACTACATGATAAGATTGCATATTTTTACACGGAAGGATTACAATGTATGGTTTAACTAGAGAAACATCCCGGGCTAGTTGTCATGGAAACCATCATAAAGTGATTATGTTGTTTATGTTAAACCGAAGTACAAAGATGTAAGCTAAGTATGTCATGGAAAGGACAAGTCTAGGGTTTCATTCAAACATTTTTCTCCGGAAATGACGGGGGAATGGGGGGGGGGGGGGCTGGGTGGGTGGAGAGGAACAGTAACGCCCCCCCCCTGGATAGATGCTTGAAAGAAACCCCACCACAGTGGTCAACATTCGTATTATCACAGTGTGTTTTCAAATGTTCTCTGATGTGGTAGTACAGCATCCAACTGGTATGTGTACAGCCCTAACTGTCCCACTCCACACCACTCAATGATGTAACCCCACCACTCCACTCAATGATGTAACCCCACCACACCACTCAATGATGTAACCACTCCCCCATCCCATCCCACACCACTCAATGATGTAACCACTCCCCCATCCCATCCCACACCACTCAATGATGTAACCACTCCCCCATCCCACACCCCACCACTCAATGATGTAACCACTCCCCCATCCCATCCCACACCCCACCACTCAATGATGTAACCACTCCCCCATCCCATCCCACACCCCACCACTCAATGATGTAACCACTCCCACATCCCACACCACTCAATGATGTAACCACTCCCCCATCCCACTCCACACCACTCAATGATGTAACCACTCCCCCATCCCACTCCACACCACTCAATGATGTAACCACTCCCCCATCCCTATGCTCTTGACCCCCCCCCCGGCTTAACCTCTACCTCCGACTGAATATTGCCACTGGCTATTTAACTTGGGTGTGGGTAGAAAGAGATTAAATGTACAAAGTGAAATTTGACTTTAAAATTAAAACTGAGGGGAATTCACTGATGCGGCGACGTCACGCTTTCGCTGTTTTTACATGTTCACCGCCTTTTAAAACATCGCCTTAGCCCGCAGCAATGCGTGAGACGGGTACACTTTACTACGTCATTCATGCGATCGCCTTGAAACCTGGAGAAGTTGTTGAGCAACTCATGTAAAGGGTTGCTGCGATACAAAACCGTTCAATGTTGTAGGGGCGGCGCCCCAGTTGTAGGATTGGAACTCGCGCCCCTATTTTCTCAGCGACCATTTGAGCCCCTGAGATCTGTTGATGGGTGCTACTTGATTAAACGATCAAACTACACCAGGCAAATCCATGCGCCCCGACCTACCCCTTGAGCGCTATGGCGTCTACATTCATTTTAAATAGCGCCATACACTAGGGTCACGCTTAAATCGAACAAGCGGTCTCCTCCAGTCGTAATACCATTATCATTAACATCGGTGAAAAGCCCCCCCCCTCCCTTTTCGGAAAAAGATGTCGAGCGTTTTTTTTACCTGTCCCTAACTCTTACGCCTGTTTATTTTACCTTTAAACAAACAAGGTAGAAACAGTTAAATCATGGGACGCCCCCCCCCCCCCCCAATGTGGGCCGGCACAATCTTTCAACTCGTCAATCGGTCAATCAGTCAATCGGTCGATCCCCGATCAATATTTTCCGTCCTTCAATCGTTTGGTCGATTAATCGGTCAATCTGTCAATCCCTCAATCATTCCATCCCCCAACCTTCAATCCTTCAATCCCCAATCTTTCAATCCTCCAATCAATCCATCCCCTAATCCCCAACCCTTCAATTCCCCAAATTCTTCAATCCTCAGTACTTCAATCCCCCAAATCCCTCAATTCCCAATCCATCAATCCCCAATCCCCCAGTCCCCCAATCCCCTAAATCCCTCAACTCCCAATCCCCCAGTCCCCCAATCCCCCAATCCCTCACTGGTTCCTACCCCCCACGGCTAGAACACCGACCCACTCACTTGTAGTGCAGACTTTAACGGCTGCGTTAAATGTTGGATCGTCAATCAAAACCAGGGTATCAGGGCTGTAGTAGCACACGCCATCATAGAACGCTGACGTCACACAGCCACTGTTGGTCAGGCAGAAGTTGTAACATTCTTCCTGTCGACATTTGCAAGAACTTCAATGCTACTGTGTTGGTCATTAGTTGTAACATTTTAAAATTTGTAACATTTTAAAATTTGTAACATTTTAAAGATTTGTAACATTTTAAAATTTGTAACATTTTAAAATTTGTAACATTTTAAAATTTGTAACAATTTCGAAACGCTTTTTAAGTTTATAACACTATAAAATTTATAACATTTAACTTTTGAAACACTTAAAATTGTCGTTCATGTATAAATTTCATACACCACTGATATATTTTATGAGTCCCTACCCCCACCCCATCTTTAAAGTACCCCATGTCCATAAACGTTGAACTACTTACAACCCACTCCCCCCTCCCTCAAGTGTTTATTCCAAATCCAACTGACCCCAGCACTTTACCACACCTTTTTTTCTTTAAGTGCATCTTTCAGGCACCGGATTCCACGCACCCCCTCCCTTTGAATAATCGTCGTAGCCCCTCCCCTTGAGTAGTATTAAACGTGAGCTCTAGCTAGAGCTTGTAGCCAGCTCCTGAAGAAAAACGTGAGCTCTAACTAGAGCTTGTAGCCAGCTCCTGAAGAAAAACGTGAGCTCTAACTAGAGCTTGTAGCCAGCTCCTGAAGAAAAGCCCCCTGTTATGAGCGGTCATAATGTACAGTGCCTGACATGTTTGCAAGTGTCACAAAATGAAACAAAGTGTCGAAGTAATGTTGTCAATGATGTCTTGCAAGAAACACACACCGCACTATTGAAGGGCCCAGCGTCAATTGGGTAGTCAGTGGACTCGACACCTTTTCCATCGTAGATCACCAGGGTGCACTCAGCTGAAGGCAATGGAAGTATTTATACACTATTACATATATACATACATACATACATATATATATATATATATATATATATATATATATATATATATATATACTGTTTATTTATTTTATTTATGTATTTAACTGTTTATTGAAATAGCCTGTTACATTTTATTATGAAAACAGCCGTAGCATAATATACAAGGACTACACGCACACACGTACACACGTACACACAGATAAACAGCAAACACTGACCGTGCACATCTCCCAGGCCTACAACTATCACCAAGACAACGATGAAAGCGTCAGGAAATCTCAAACTGCTGCAAGACATTTTGTGGTGAGTCTGGCTGGATAGTTTGTGATACCTCAAGTTGATTCTTGCACAATAAATTGTTTGTGTTATCTGAAGTGGGTTAATGAATGCCTGTAAAATGCCTGTATATATATATATATATATATATATATATATATATATATATATATATATATATATATATATATATATAATATGTTAAATATTAGAAAATAAAACAAATATAAAAGCAATTTATACTAACCAACTTTTGTGTGGGGAGAAATAACACTCTCTCTTGCGGTGGGGAGTTTTAACTCTGACTTGGGGTGGGGGGGGGGGGTTAAATGGAGAGTGTAAATGGCAGGTATTCTATAGACCCTCGTTTGTAAAGATTTTCTGGAAAATCAAACTCGGGAACTAACATTTTGACCACACAAAAAACTTAACCAAAAAGCCATGAGATTTTAAGTCCCACACCATCCTACTCTACTCTAATCGATCTCTAGCAATTATTTGACCATCAAATGATCTAACACTCGACCACAGCATTGCAAAAATTACAATCAACATTAGTTACATTCGGCTTGGACAAAATTACTCAAACTTAGTTTTTACAACTCGTACACCATATGATGTCACTTGTGATGTTAACAAATGATTGTAAATGGTGGCTGGACCAATCACTCAATGCTTGTGATTGGGTGGTGTGACGGGTAACTTGACGGTTAAAATATAAGAACTTTGAAACTTACAATGTTGATCAGGCTATACAAGTTGGCCTGAGTGGTATTGTGGGGGTCTTCGAGAAATTCCCGAATGTCGTTTGCCCAAAGGTCGTTTGCCCGAATGCGACAAACGACCGAATGCGACACAGAGTTTCTTCCAGGCATCTCTTCGGGGGGCTTCGTCCCCCCGAAAAATTTTTACCGCCCCCCCCCCCCCCCGAACGAGATGAAATTTATATAATTTATATAGAAAATATATACTTTTAACAGTGTCCGCCCCCCGAAGAAAGTCTACCGCCACTCCGAAAATTTCAAGTGCCCCCCCCCCCGGAGAAAAAAGTCTGGAAGAAACACTGATGCGACAGATGCCTGAAAGGACACTTGCCCGAATGTCGTGTGCCCCAAAAAATACTACATATTAAATAGAGATGATGTTAATAAATCTAAATTTGGCATTATGATAATCATCACAATTCTAAGCATAAAAAACGTATTTTAATTTTTTTTATATAATAAAATAAACATACTTAATAAAATTTGTGTTTGCATTATAACAAATGCAAAAGCATTTTTCTTTCTATGAAAAAAAATTATCTCAGATTTTCATAAGATAATTTACATTTTCTTTTGTTCTATAATCGCTTTATCACATTGCATAAATAAGGTATGTTGAATGGAAATTAAACATTGGCGACTACATCTAGTGATTTGAATTCTCCGTCAAGACTGTCTCAGTCATATGTCAACTGATCACCACTCTACACAATATTAACAAGCTAAATCAGTCGCACACGCCTTCATTCAATGGTGCCGCATACACCGCGTCATAAATGTGGTACAACCACCACAAACAACAACCGCTAAACAAAGCGCTCAAACAATAATCAAAGGAATGTAAAGACTCTGTTGGCAACATAAGCAACATATTTACAAAAATACTCCATTTTCAAAACTAAAAATTGCATTTTTCTTAAAATGTATAAACAAACTTCATTATGCTTACAATGATCAAAATGTTAAATCAAAATTTATTTAGAATGTCTACGAGATAGTCTAATAAATTATCAAAATGTTAAATCAAATTTATTTAGAATGTCTACGAGAT